TGTTCCTGCCTGCCCTGTGTCGCAAGATGGGGGTCCCTTACTGCATCATCAAGGGGAAGGCCAGGCTGGGGTGTCTGGTCCACAGGAAGACCTGTACCACTGTCGCCTTCACACAAGTCAACTCGGAGGACAAGGGCGCTCTGGCTAAGCTGGTGGAGGCCATCAGGACCAACTACAATGACAGATACGATGAGGTCTGCCGTCACTGGGGAGGCAACGTTCTGGGTCCAAAATCTGTGGCTCGTATTGCCAAGCTGGAGAAAGCGAAGGCTAAAGAGCTTGCCACTAAACTGGGCTAAGCGTACTTTGAGTTTTCTGTACATAAAAACAATAAATTGTCCTTAATCCAGTGTAAAAAAAAAAAAAAACAGGCGCTCATGTAGGTCCTGCAAGCTGCCCTCTTTTGCAAACCAGGAAACTGAAACTCAGGTAGGTAATGAGCCTTGCCCAAGGCCACTGGGCTCAGAGGCGGAAGCAGCAGAACCGGAAAGCAAGTCCAACCTGTCCAGATCCAAACTGTTCCTCTGCCTCTAGACCAGCGCTGGTTACCTTGAAATCTGAACGTGACTGCTGCGAATCTACCCAACTTTGAGTCACTGTTTATCTAGCACTTACTGGAACTCAGACCCTTGGGCTACACTCCTTGTGCAGATGACAATCTCGAGTGGCTATAAGCATCAGAAGGGACAGCACAGAGTTCTGCCTCGGAGGAGAATTGACCCAGTCTTCTCACCTAGGCCACCGTCCACTTACTTTAGGGTTTTTTGTTCTTATTTTTGTTTTGTGTGTGTGTGTGCAGGGTCTCACTATGCAGCTTAGACTCCTAGTGATCCTCCTGATTTCTGCCTCCCTAGTGCTGGGATGACAGGCATGTGCCACCACGCCTGGACTCCACTTACTTTAAAAAATTAACCATTTTATTTGTGGCCTGGGGATTGAACCCAAGACTTTCACATTGAATTGTGTCCCCAGCCCTTTTAGAAATTTGAGACAAGGTCCTACTAGGTTACTAGCTGACTAGGCTGGGCTCAAAACTTGCAATCCTCTTACCTCAGTCTCCAGAGTGCTGGGATTTGGGGGAGAGTCAGGCAACGCTTTGAGCAAGTTTAGGGAGAGGTGGCTTTTATAGAAACATGCCCAGGGGGGCCTGGCTCTAGCTCAGTTCTTTAAGTGGCTGCTTCCACAAAGCTGTCAGCCTCAGCTTATTCTAGTTC